AACGCAACCTTTCATTTAGGCACATAGTTCTGTACGCTGTCAAAAGCCGTGTTATACAGCGCATGCCCAGGAAAAAAAAAAACGATGCCATTATAGTGCAAAAGCTGTTATCACTGTCAACTTTGTGTTTTGCACCCATGCAATAAAAACCTGATATTTTTAAAACCCTATTACATGTTGTATGTTAGCAAAGGTCTTCCTTTTCGTGACTGTCATAGCTGCCTATCGAGCCATTAAAAAGCATATCACTTCAACGAAATAAATCCCACTTTAGTTTCAGCGAAAGAAAAAGCCCGAGGACTAGCTTATATCTTGTCATATATGCGACACGTATATATATGTTAGTGCTTTGAGTGAGTTAGTAGCATTACAGAAATGCAGTAGACGCCCCTCCACTGCGGCCTTGTGGCTAAGGTACTCGGCTGCTCATCCGCAAGTCGTGGGATTCAATCCCGGTGGCAGCGGCTACATTTTTTGGTAGAGGCAAAAATGCTGTGGGCTCATGTACTCAGATTTGGGTGCAAGTTAAAGAACCCCAGATGGTCGAAAATTTCGGAGCTCTCCACTACGGCCTTTCATAATCATATGGGTATTTTGGGACATTAAACCTTACACATCTATCAATCAATCGATAAATGCAGCAGATATTCCACACACAACCCGAGCGATAAAATAAAATGACTGAGAAGCACCCTCTGATTGGCTACCCTGTGGGATTCGTCGTCCTGCTCTTGCGCAAAGTGCCAGCAGCTGTGGTATGTCACACACATAAATATATCTAAGGAGAAGCACGATTCTGATCACCTATTATTTGCAGGGGCTCCACTCAGCATAACCACTGTATACCCATTCTTCGCCAACCCAGGTGTCACCGAACGCGGGTATGTGCACCTCTTTTTTCGGTATTATTTTTGCAATACGTTGTAGACCAGTCGCTACGTGCATGATCGGCCCGGTCAAGTGTCTCCGAGCAACTGAAGTATGGCTCGTCCTTTAGAGCTTGTTTCTGCGGACGCTTAACCTTTCGCACTTCTTTCGAGGTTTTAATATGCAGCGTACAATTGTGTAAAAGGAGCGATGAAAACATTCACGGGGATGTCGTCTGATTAGCCCTTTCCTAAATGCAAATGCTTGAGCTTTGAAATAATTCTGGGGCAGCTCTTCTTCGAGCAATGACTGTTGCTGTGCCCGTGACAAGAGATGTATACATTACCCTCTTTCCACAAAAAACGCATAACAATCCCCTAGGTACCCGGCTTACAGCATGCATGCATGACATTTTCAGACCTTCGACCTCAAGGATAAAATTGTTTGAATGTGGTCTGCTCCTAAACCGATAATCTAGAAGACCAGCAAGGTGAGTGGCAGTTACTTTCATTGATGAGTTGTCCCATGTGTGTCAGCCAAGTCAACCACGTGTTTGATTGATATGTGAGGTTTAACGTCCCGAAACCACCGTATGATTATGAGAGACGCTGTAGTGGAGGGCTCCGGAAATTTCGACCACCTGGGGTTCTTTAACGTGCACCCAAATCTGAGTACACGGGCCTACAACATTTTCGCCTCCATCGGAAATGCTGCCGCCGCAGCCGGGATTCGAACCCGCGACGTGCGGGTCAGCAGCCGAGTACCTTAGCCACTAGACCACCGCGGGCGGGGCAAAACCACGTGTTTCTTCATTCTTAAAAAAAACACAGCATTCCCGGCTGTTGATATGTGTTGTGGGTGTTATTCTATTTACGCGCTCGCATAGAATATTTACAATTACTGCGTGAATAATTAATAATAATAATAATAATTAATAATATTATATAATATGCACACACGCAGCAGATTGATTTATTACCTGATGATGTCAGATATTTGTTTCGATTTGGCAGAAGTATACGTGAAGATGTGGTAATGCGGCGTACGGCGAGTGCTTTTTATATCTATTTTGTCTACTCTTCGCTGAGAGGAACATGGGTATTTCACCACATAGTTCTTGAACGTCTTTTGCAGCTTCCCTGCTTTGTCAACTTCACGTTTTGCACTATCCGAGATTCCGATGCTGAACCCACATTACAGTATGAAAAAAAAGATTACCCTGTAAGAAATTGACAACTAGTGTGTATTCTCCCCTAAAACACCGTTCTATAGGCACGAATCACATAGTCAATGAATGTGCTCATACGAAGAAATTCAGATGTTATATTTACGCCGAAGCAATGCTTTAGCTTCTTAAAAGTTGGACCAAGGGTGGCTAATCCGACACTAATATCATGACACTGTTATAAAATGTCACACCTAGATTGATACAGACGTGTCGAACGCATTTTATTAGTAATCGTAATTGAGGCATAATTACTGTAATACATGCTAACTACAAGTGGCGTCGAATATGCGAATGATTTTTTTTTCGGTGTCCTTTTTCTAATGTGTGAAGGTGGCGCGTTTGGCCTCAGCCCCCACACTGCTCCAATAGTATAAGCAGTATGAAGATAGTTGAGCTGTTAATATGCTTCAGTTTCAAGAATCACCTTGTATCTCACGTATTCCGCATAGGTTCGCATTTATGAGCGTACGTTTATAGACGGTTCATTAAAACCGCATGAAGGGCGACAAAAAACAAAGGCACGCGCACAAAGTACTGTAAAAGAGCAAAAAACATGCTTCCATTGATGTGCCGCACCTGGCTGATAAGCATGCGATGGGCGTAATCTCCTGAGCTGCGTCGAAGAATAAATAGCGAAGGAAAGAAGAGGCCCAGTGTGGTGACCATATAAAACTTCTTGCAAGCCGTTTTTTTTGTAAACAATACACCATGTACTCTGGAATTTCACTTTAGACGCTCGATATTGTAAACAGAAATAAAAGTTGTATGCATAGCTTCTGCTTCAAAAGTGAATGTTTGCCTTTTTAGTAAAATTTATTTGACAAAGTTTACTCGATAGCTTTTGATTTATAGATAAACAAATTTGTGCGAATGTGCACATTCAGTAAATGTTAACGTGCTTAGATTGTAGGTATGTGTGTCTATTAGGCCTCGCATGAGTGAGGGTACAGCTTGTCAGAGCCTGCAGGAGCCGGAACTTTGCAGAACAAGGCCGGCCACTGATGATCGTTTAAACGTTACACACCAAGCGCATGGTATGGTAATGAGGGACGCTGTGATTCAGGGCTCCAAAATTTCAACCACTCGGAGTTCTTAACGAGCAACTAAATCTATATACACGCACCTCAAACCCTTTCGTCTGCATTGAAAATGAAGCCGACGCTGCCGAGATTTGCTGGATAAATTAGCGGGTCAACAGTCATGCTCCATAGCGAAAATATCACCGTAACGGGCACCGTGCTGCAGAAAAGTGGGTGTGACCTCACTACTAGACTTGCACTAATAATCGTTGATACAGGCTTATACAAGGTCAGTAAGTAATTGATAGATATGTGGGGTTTAACGTCTCAAAACCACCATATGATTTTGAGAGACGCCGTAGTGGATGGCTCCGGAAATTTAGACCACCTGGGGTTCTTTAACGTGCACCCAAATCTGAGCACACGGGCCTACAACATTTCCGCCTCCATCGGAAATGCAGCCGCCGCAGCCGGGATTCAAACCCGCGCCCTGCGGGTCAGCAGCCGAGTACCTTAGCCACTAGACCACCGCGGCGGGGCAAGGTCAGTAAGTACCCATTGTGCAAAAGCACGCGATGTTTTAGACGTACAACGTTATTCGCCAGAGGCAAAAAACTTTGTACTTCTACATGTATGTGTAAGTACCAGCTGAGACATTGCAAGCAATGGGAAGCTTGATGAGTGTTTCGTAATGTCTGGAAGTTTTTTATCAGCTGGACTACACTTGAAGCGATGTCAGAAGAACGCTGAGACGCAGACAGTGATGCAGATTCTTATTAAATTCTAAGCATTTCTTAGCCAACGTGAATGAATAACGAAGGTACATGACTGGTGCAAACATGATAATCACGAGCTGCGTGTCATGCATAAACATGAATACAAGCCGCGCCTCATGATGCGCTAGCGGCCGTTTCACTAGCTTCACATACACCAAACTTGGTATTAAGTGACGGAAACGGATGACGAAGTTATATGGCACGCCAAAACATGGTAATCATGACATAACTGTCATGTTAAACCTTACTGCATGCTATACTCAGGGTGCTCGCGGCCATTTTGCAAGCTTCGCAGATACGAAATTTAGTGGATACGTGATGTGAGTGGATGACGAAGATATATGACTGGTGCAAACATGAGAATATATGATATGCGTGTGAACTCATGATGCGCTCGCAGCCATTTTGCTAGTTTCACATATACCAAATTTCCTACTACGTGACACGAATGAACTACTGAGCACAAATTCCAGACGCAAACATAAAATTTATGTCATGGAAGTCACAGCATAATTTACGTCCGCCTCGTAACGTTGTGGTCATTTTAATGTGACAATTCAACCTTCCTCATTTGTGCTTCGCATATCATTGATTCCCACAGTACGTGGGATCTACGAATTTTTTCGCAGGAGCATCTTGTTTAATACGTCCTCATTTTAACGGCTTTGCTAGATGTACAAGTTAAATATCATCTGAGTGGAATGAAAAGCTCCATCAGATTGGACATCCCATCATTCTTAACCTCTTGATGAATACCAGTGGTTGGGAGCATTGAGTAGGCCAAGCACATAAAAACTTCGATAAGTATCAACAAAACCAAATGAGAAAATACGTGAATATTTGAGTACTCTGGCTCGAAAGTCATGGTTCTAATTTTCGTAAATGGTCTTACTGCGAGTATGTAATGTCTTCAAAGTTCATGCATGCAATATTCAAGTATGCTTATGTGGTAAAGAGCAGGGAACACAAAAAAATGTTTATGTTAACTCTGGTTACAAAGCGTGTCGCGAGTGGAACTCGCGCGCCTAACAACTAAATACACAGCTCGAGTCGGCGTCAATTAACCTGTTAGAGGAGCCTGCAAGCGCTAAAAATAGTGTTCACACTTGCCTTTGGTGTACGGGGGGATGTGGAATCTGCGGTTTCGTCCACGGCTTGACGACACAGGGCCTCCATAATGGCACAGGTTCACAAAATGGATTGGGACCGCTTGCAACAGATGCTTTTCTCGCTCAAAGAAACACTGGATACGCCCTGGAAATCGTGGCACTGAAAGCTGTGCCGTGCTTTGACGTGCGTTTTGGAAAAGTCACGTGTCTCGAGAGCTGTGACGGTGTCAAATCATGTGGCACGCACGCCGTGTTCGTGATACTCTCAGATAATGCAATCAGTCACTCAGTTGGTTCGTTTTTCCTAAAGAGACCCGTGGGGGTATGATATAAGGAGTGTGATTAACATGTTCACAGAACACATGAAATATTAAATGGGTTACAATTCAGTACATTTCTTCGTAGTGTAAAAAAAACACGCATATAAATTAACATGCGTAAACTTTATTCAAAACAAAAATATACTCTGAGCCTTTTTTGTAGAAGATGGTCAGATAGGTGTTGTGCAAATAAGTAAATAAATAAGTAAATTGGACATGTTGTGACGACAATGGCAGGAGCGAGGTTGTTCCTGTCTTTCGCCGTGCGGAGAAAGAATGATGCTGAAAATGTTAATGTTCGAGCACGCATTATTGAAGCCTGCTGTGGATGGCTTGTCCTGGGTAACATGCAAGCTGCGGCTTTAATGTAACACGGTTCATGCAGATAAGAACTGTGAAATTATGGTAAAGACACAGTGAATAAATGCACCAATGCACAGCGGGCGATGAAAGATGGGATACCGATTTCAGTAACGTAACGCTAATGCCATATGAATACGAAGAATAAATAAAGCAAGCTGCACGGTTCGGAACTGATTTTATTGCAATAATGAGATACGCTTCATCCGGATCCCAGATAACGGATGCGTATTCTAATTTTGGTCGCACAAGTGACGTGTAGGAAAGTCATTTTACGTGCTTCCTCCTCCATTGTTCACGAAAAATCTGAGAAAAGTAGGACACAAGCTGAAATCCTGTTAGGTTGCATGAGATTAGCAGGTGTGTTGCGTAGCTTCCCTCTTGGCCGTAACATTCCTCATTCTTTTAATGAAAAACAAAGGACTGATCTAGTCGGTACGTGTTCAGCCATATGTCACTATCATGCGCAAGCAGGCCTATCTTTTCATTTGTGATGGTACGGGCTTTTGCGGCATTAATCTAAACGCCACCGACGTATCTTTTTTGATCCCCTTCACGCGTGCCAGATTGATATTGTTTCATGCCTGTGCTCACGCAGCTAAATTTTTGTGCCTTCTCTTTTTTTTCCCTGCTGAGAGATATAAATAACAATATCTAGGGTCTTATGTTTCATAACCAAGATATGTATATGAGGAGTACTGAAGCGCAGAAGCACTTCAGAAATTTTGACAATCTGGTGCTCGTTACCAAGCACTGACATCGCACTGCACATGGGCCTCAACCATTCTGCCTCCATAAAAATGCGACTGCCGTGGCCGAGATTGCACGCGTTACCCTCCGGTCAGTAGCCGGGTACTATAACCACTGTTTCATCGAGGCGGACTAACCACGTGTGAGTAAGCTGCTTAACGTTTGGTGTTTTAAAGACGATAGTCTTTTTTTTTGGGGGGGGGGGACCTTCAACGCAAAAATTTTGGTCTGTCCGTCTATCTGTCTGTCTGTACATTTGTCTGTTTGTTTATCAAAAACGGCACCAGGTACTTGAAACAGACGACCCCATCCGTAGCGCCCACCAATGTTGCTCAAGCCTTAGTGTTCATACTTATGCAATTGTCAATAAAAACAAATATTGCGCATGTCTTGGGCACCATAAGAACACGTATATATTCTGCATGTGCGTGTTTTAGTAGTAAAGGCATACATAAGTAATTCTAAGGACCGTAGCGCTTATCACGCCGCGCTGATAATGACACGCTTGCGCGAAAAGGTGAGTGTTTCCAACGCTTTGCTAAGGCGAAACGGTGGTGGCACCTACTAGTCGCCTTGCGTTCTACACTTTATCACCTCTGAGACAGGCGCGCACACCCGTCTCTAGCCAGCACTTTGCTTTCCAAGAAAACTGCCAGATGGCGCTCATGTCTCAGGTGTGACGTGACTTGATGCGCTCATTCGCCTCTGCTGCACACTCGAGGCACCCTAACACAGCACCTCCAGAATATCATTCACCGTTTTTCTTGCCCAGAACATCAAATAAATGTTTTGTTCACTCTCTCCACACGCAAGACTATCGTCTTCTGACATTTTTAGATTAACATGCAGATACGGGGCCAATTTTTTTGTTCTGGGGTATTTATTTTCATAACTAATATATAGGTGCACTCCTTCTCGCATTGTCCTAATTTTTCTCTTTCTGGATGTAATTACATAAGTTACTTGAAAGCTACTTGATTTGATGGTTTCGAGACGTTAAGCTCCACATATCAAATCAATCGAATGCTAATTAAGAAAAGAAATGATGGTCAGCTTGAAGGCTTGTTTTTCTGTTCTGGACACATACAGTATAAATGAGAACTAGAAGAGAATCAGGCCAAGGAAAGTATAAGGGAAGGTTTTTGTAGTACAAAGAAGGTAAAGTGGGCGAGAAGAAAATTTGTCCTTGGCGGGAACTCAACCTTGAATATTCGAATTACGTGTACGATGCTCTACCAATTCAGCAACGGCGGTGGTCATCCCGCAGTCCCTTCTTATTTGGGTAAATCTGTGCAGTTAAGTTTGCTAGTGTTAGCTCCGATCACAGCCATGGTGGTGAGTGTGGAACAGCTTTATTTTACCAGGGGACGTCCCGTATCATGCGACGCGAGCGTTACTACAGATAACATCCCATATTCTTCCCATTAAAAGCTGATTTCAAAAATTTCTCATTAAACGCTGCTCAGTTATCATATAATTACGTTATTATTATGCTGTTGCCCTATGGTTCTGCTGCCAATATTTGTCCGCACCATCAAACAGAAGTGGTCTTGTTGGAGGAGCCAAAAGTGTCATTTCTCTTTATCTCTCAACACTAGCGCGCTCAAACGTAAATCAGTGGTCTGGTGATGGCAACTGGAGGATACACCAGCCAAAAGTGAGGCGTTCACATAAATGTTTCAAGCGATTCCTTTCAATGTAAAAACGAATGACAGGAATTGCACCTAATACTTCTATTACTCTCAATTTGATTTTAACACACGATCCTAAATATTTGTCGAGCACTCAACATTCAACAGTTATTAGTGATCATTTGATAATGACTTTTTCCCAAATATACCTTTTTGAAAATCCGTTGAAAGCAAGAAATTTATCAGGGACTACAAAAAAAGCTAATCTTGAAGCAAAAATGACAAATTGTGTGATTTTTTGGTGAAGACTTCAATGTCAATATTCAGTGTACTTCTTAGCTAAACTGCAACATGTTCACAGCTGACTTCGAGCGTTCACATTACAGACACATTCCAATCCGTCCCATGACTTGTAATCCTTGCGGGCCATGGTAAAATAATACATTAAAACGGCTGTAAAAAATGTCCGTAACGTTGGGTAAATTAAAACCCACAGTTTATCTTGTGAAACTATACACGCTCGAATCTGACGCCTATGTAGCCGCTATCAACTACGCTGAAGAAGCGTTTTTTATACCACGTTACCATCTATGCTTATAACCAGTATCATTAAATTATCGCACGTCATTTATCCCCTTCCTGATGGTGGTACAACCCTAATTTGTCTTCCGGTAGCCATGTTGAAGAAAACAATTTGTGCAGCTTTCTTGAACAATGTATTTGTAAAAACTTCTCGCGAACCACCGATATCAGCCTGCCTGTACTGAATAGCTATGAATATTTATATCTACATCCAATTATTGTCGAGGTTACAGGCGTATTTGAATAATGCATTTATTGAAGATGCATTCTTCGCCTGTATATGTTAAAACTGGTCTCAAATGTCTTAAAACGCCCTATTTTATAGCTCTACAGTATTAACTAACATCTTAAAGCAATATTTTAACACATCTATACTTCCAATTGATGAAAAACAAGAATAGTTACTATTTTTCATATTTATGCAAACAAAACCATACTAAATCTACAGAAGTAGTTCATCACGTTTGCCTGTGCGCGGCTAACCAAACAAAAGCGTAGGTTTCAAGCTACATTTATTGCAACAAGCAAATCGATGGACTATCAGAAAAACAAGCACAGAAAAAACACACTTAAACTGAAAGTTCTCAAACGTGGGGCGTCCAGTCTACGTGGAATAAAAATAGCTCAGGGTTGGTCGACCAAGCGTTTCGAGGAGGAAGCACTTCACGTTCCACGACGACCCTTCTCGAAGCAAGTTCAGGCAACCAGCCTACACATGTTTCTTGTGCGGTCACGGCAGGAGACAAGACCTCGGGACGACCTCATGTCCGATCACGGCCTTCAGCCGTCCCAGGTGGCGGTAACGATCAGGAACCGGTCGTCTTTTTTCTGTGTGCCAACATAGCAGGAGCCGTGCCCGGTCCCCATAGACCAAAACAGGTAGCTATCCTCCCGTACCTCGATCACCGAGAAACAGACAGGAGGAGCTTCTTGGACAGCGCCCTGGTACGCCGTGTCCCAGCTGAAGGCACAGTCAGGACCACCAGGCGAGCACCAGGCCCTCTGCAAACACAGCCACGAAACCTCCGAGAACAGCAACCTGGTTCGGCGTGTCGCTCGGCTACGTGTTGCTCGACTCTCTGCGCGTTCGTTTGTTTGTAGCCTGGAAATCATGGCACATGCCCACTTTGTGGAATTGGTTGGTTGGTTGGTTTATTCCTCAACACCGAGGCGCAACCCACCTTGGGGGATAGGCCATGAATAGGACGGTGCATTGTTTTTAAAATAATTCACTTTTTGAAAGAGAGGACTGGATTGATTAAGTAGTATAGGTAATAATATAAAGGTGTTAGATTTCTAAACAAACAAAAAAAACCTTGAAAAAAACATAGTAAACACACAAAAAAGAAAAAATATACACAAAACAACTGAAGTTAGTTATTTTTAGCATTCCATTCTTTTAGATTCTCGTAAAAAGTTTATAACAGCGGTAAAAACACTCCTGTGGCTGAATCCAAATGTGACTGCGCCAAATGAAAGAATCACCGGAAGTGTT